TTTTATAGAATCTTAATTTCAAAAATGCAGTAAGTTAGAAATGGATTTGAAATATAGTATATATTTTTTACGAATACAATTATTTATATTAAATCCTAATTAAAAAAAAACAATTTAAATATCTGGTGAATTAAATTTCACCATACTCAGGGTTAAACTTAAATCTCTTAAATAGTGTAAAAGGAGTATCATTTTTGGAATAATTAAAAAATTGCCAACGGCACGTAGTGTTCCCAAGCGGTCACCCATCCAAGTACTAACTACGCCCGACGTTGCTTAACTTCAGTGATCGGACGAGAACTGGTGTATTCAACGTGGTATGGTCGTTGGCGATAACTTTACAAATATGTTACTAATTTATATTGTATTACTTATGTTATGTATTTACCGTCTCCCTATGAAAAAATTATATACTGCTAAGGATATATGGGTAATTTTCTATTAGGTTGGTTTATGTTTTCATTATTCATAATATAACTTAAGTTTGACCTATGAGTCAAAGAAATTTTATAAAAAAAACATATATCTACACTCATGTAAACTTAGTATGACATTATAACATTCCTATTGCATATTAATACATAACTTATATTTTAGATAATAAATCTCTTGAAAAGCATTTTTTTTTCTTCTTAAATCTACCAAAAATTTTAATTCACTATTCAATTCAAGGTTATGGGTAAAACAAGAAAATCTTTGCTACTCGGTCCATTCAAATTTTTCAAAACCCCTCCGAAATTTGTTTGAATATATAGCACTTTTAAATGTAGTCTAGAGTAAAAAGTCATTTACATTTATGTTGATAACATTTTAATAAAAGCAGTAATTACACTGATATAATTTATTTTTCTTGACAAGATTTTTAAAATCTAATTATTATTATTTTTTTAAATAATTGTAACGAATTGTTGGCAATGATTTNTTAAATAATTGTAACGAATCGTTGGCAATGATTTATCTTAAATAAAGCATGTAGTATGAAGTCAATTGTTCTTAAATGTAAAACGTTGAATACTATAACGATCTGTGTTTCTGCTAAGGGTGTATGGGTAATTTTCTATTAGGTTTGTTTAAGATTTCATTATCTTTAACATAACTTATGTTTGACCTAATAGTCAAAGAAACTTTTTAGAAAAAACTTATATATTTACACTCATATAAATTTATTATGTCATTATAACATTCCTATTGCATATTAACTTATATTACAAATCCCTATCTAGCTTATTGTATTTTTGTAATTAAGATTCATTAAAAGTTTAAAGCTATTATGTTTTTTCATGATTAAATTCATTAGTATATATTGTTAAGTTACTAAATTGAATTTCATAGGGAAGTAATAATAAAATTATAAAGTATTATATTTCTTTACTTCTATGACAAATATGTATAAAAATCAAAGGACTTGATGCTATACTTTATAAAAAAATATGTTTTTATTTATGAATTATTATGTGTTTCAAATGTGCATTAGACTTTTTCTATCACTTCTAATTTTTTATATTATTACTAATTATTAAAAAAAGAGTATTTGTATAAAAAAAATAATTATAAACAAAAAATAATTGTTTTTAAATTATTACTGATTTTAATGTTTAATATGTTAGAGATAGTAAGTGCAAAATATTAATTTTATACAATTTTTTTTGTCCTTTTAAGTTGATTTTTGTAAAAGTTTATAATTAATAAATGTTGAATTTGTTACCATGACATTTAGGCCAATTCGCAAGTTTGAAATTTACATTATTATATTGAAAATTTTATGAGAATTAAAAAAGTGGTATTTTATAAGATTAATTTGCAGTCAAAAAATTTTACATTTACTATTTACAGTAACTTTATCAGAAAACTCAATATTATTTTGCATTTTTATCGTAATAGATCACTTAAATATAAACTATTGTAATCATTTTTAAGTGACTTTAGGTGTTTAAAATATTCTACGATTGAAATATTCAGAATTTATTTAATTAATATTCTTCCTAAAAAAATTTTGAATGTGTCACTGATAATTAATGAATTTTTTAGTTAAGCTCCTAGTTTCGGTGGATATACTCTCCTCCCCGAAAAATAAACGTCATTTATTTTCTTATTAGTTACAAATTGAAAATTGGTAGTTAATATGATTACAGACAACTCAAATAGCGTATAAGAATAATTGTGATGGTACAATTATTGTTCCATCACAATTCTAAAAAAACTATATACTTTTCAAGTTAATATTTTTGCTTACAGTTTGTTAACAAATGTTGACCAATATATAAGAAACATTAACAATAATTAACATTTGTCAAAAATTATTGACATAAATAACTAACCATTTAAAACAATAGAGTTCTTCTACTTCGCCCTGTATTCGTGTCACAATGACTAAGTTAAAGCCTGTGTGTTTCCCATCTCACTAGAAATTAAAAAAAGTGGTTTCTCCCAAAATAAGTTAATCTCGGGGCTTGTGTCAGGCACACCTAGCACACTCGGTTTTTATAGTACTTCCTGTACTAAACTTCTCATTACCAAATTTGTGACCAAAAATATGCTAATCTGTATGGATAAAATATGTTCAATTAAATCAAAGAAAGTGAACATTCGTTATTTTTAAATCAAGAGATTCTTAGTTTCATTCGACATAATTTTGCATAGAAATCCTTTGTTCTAAGTTCCTTGAGATAAAGTCTGACTTATTGAATAAGACCAATGCCGAATTGTTTCTAAGTAATTATGTCAGGGTTTTGGCAGCTACTACAAGTTTTGACGTTGACGAAAGAAGTGTTTAAAAAAAACGTAGATAAAAAAGTCGTGAATCATTAAGTGCGGTCACAGTTGTATTTTCTAGACTTTTGCTCTAGCCAGCTGCAAAACATTTTTACTCTTATTTATAATTTATCAAAAAAATAGGAAAAACAAATAATTTGAGACAATAAATAAAATAAATGTGGTTATTTTTTTGGTAATTTGTATTTTTTTTTTATTGAACGATACTCTTTTGGCAAATATTTACATTTAAATCGTCGTCACGTTTTTATACAATTTATACTTGTATAATTATTTTATTAATACTTACACATTATAATATATACACGTAAGAGTAAATATACAATTAGGCTAACGCAAACAAGTATTATTATATAATTAATTTGAAAACTAAAATAAAATATAAATATATTACTTTAAATTCATAATTTTAATTAAAAATAATTCAAAATCAAATAAATTTTAAAATCTCTGTAAACAACTTTAAGAAATACAATTTTTGAGAGCCATAAATTGATAAGTGTCAAATGAAATTGTTCAATGGAACAACTTTTCCCTTTGTAATAATGTAATAGAAATTATATTTTTCTATTGATCCAGTTGAAAACCCATAAGAAAAAGAAAACAGGAAACTTTAAAAAATACCAATAATTTTTAAATCGATATTTGGTACTCGTCAGGCTATAGCTCTCCAATATTTTAGTTTATCTGTTACATTTTGTTGGCCAACAAAGTTTTACAAATTGAAAACTGTGCAATAATAATTAGATGCGGAATGAATTATGGTAATGCAAACAAAGTTGAATGAGCATATATTGATATTTTTAAATACATAATGTTACGTTTAAAAAAATGCTTGGGATATTATATTTTAAACCTAATATATTAAGTATGAACCCACAAATCTGACCATTTAATATAAAATTAAAAATCCAAAAAAAAAATTGTTTTAAAATTTGATTTAAAATTTCATATTTTCAAATTAGTGAGTAATTATTAAATTATCGGAGTTTTAATATTATTTCGTAACGTTAAGATGTTTTTTTTTTACCTTTCATAAGTGTTAAAACACTTTGGGACTTTGCGTAGGTCGGGATGTTATATTAACAGACTGCTTCCAAATTTCAACGGTCGAACGATTATCAAAGAGCGGCTCATCTCTATTGGCCGACAAATAGTAACCGTTAACACAGTAACCAGTGCATATGACTATATAGACTATAAATACACTGGTCTAATAGATTTGTGTGTTTACCAAGAGAGTCTGTCAACTTTGTCCATGATTGACGAGACTTAGTGGCTCTACTTGTGGAAAGCGCCATATCAAAACAAACCGTAATAATCTAAGATCAACTGGCATTAGTCACCACGTTTCGTGTATGCGAATAAGATCTGCCCCCGCGATCTCGTGTGCCTTTTATTCAATCACTAAATTTGCATCCATCCCGAAGTACATTTACGGCGTTCAAAAATTATTATTGCACTGAAATAATAGATTGTAAACATATTAAGTATATTTTAATTATTTTCTACTACAAACGACTATTATCCTTAAAATATTTCGGAAGTTACAAACAAAAAGTACGACAAATAATAATATACAACTAAAAACAACGAAAAGAAAAAAAGACAACTCGGAACTCAATAAAAAATAATCTTACTATGATATAATAATATTCGAACTTATTATGTATACTCAAATGACTCGACATTTTTTATTGTACTATTTAGTGTAATCTTATTGAATAACAATAATGTTTTGTATTGCAAATAATGATAAAATAATACTCTATAAATGTTTCACGTTATTTTTTACCGATTTCAGTCAGCAATACATCATTATATGTATTTTTTTAAACTTTTATCACATGTCGATGTCAAATAAAATATTTGAAAATAGGCTCAAGTCTTGAAAAAAATTAGATTGAAGTTTCGTTGTAATGGTCACTAGAACAAATGATTAGCACCGCCGGATACTTTGAGAGAGTCAGAACCGAGTAAATAACCGGCAGGACTGCCGGCACCCAATAAGCTGAACGGATGGTGTGCGAACTGTTGGTGATGATGGTGCGATGATGGCGAAAGATGGTGATGACTATTGTGATTAATGTTGTGAGAGCCGTTCATTACGGTAGATCCATTTTTGTGTGTTGAAGACGAAGATGTCGGTGAATTGTTACCGGACCCATCACCGCTTCCACCGCCTCCGCCACCAACACATTGCTGTTGAAGCTGATGGTGAAGCTGCGAGTAGTTTTGGCCCTGTCCCAACAACCATTTATTGTTATTCACTCCTTCCGGCTGTTCTGACATTTTAATGCCTATAAATAATTGTAGAAATTAAAATTCGACCACACATTCAATTTGTTACTTTTCTTATTACTAGAAAGTTTGAAATAAAATGATTGTCGCAAAAATTTTATTTTCGGAATCGATTTGTTTATTTTAATTGACAAGACACTTTTAAATAATGTGATCAACAAAGACGTACCAAACGTATGAGTCATTATACAAATATAAATATAAAAATATAACACTTGCGTGGGGTGCAGTGAAAGTTCTCTGTTCGATCTAGACATTACCGTTAGTTACAGCTTAAAATTGATTAATAAAAAAGTCTTAAATTACTAGTCGAAGTACCATTAATTCTTCCAATTAAAATTATTACAAAAAATAATAAGTAAAATAAATTTTAGTTTATCAGTCAATATGCATAATAAATTGTCATCGTGTTTAAAAATAATCATTGCAATTGAAGTACACTTTTACGGGATGTTCAATAAATGGGATTGTTAAGTTCAATGCAATCATCTTTTTTGAAACAGCAATAAGGAAAACTAGCCGAATTCTTCCGTTCAATAATTAAGGTGCAAATATTATGCGATTGGCATAGAGATAACGAAATGTATTATTTTCCGACTTTAAACCTCATACATTAAAAATAAATAGGAAGACAGTATTTCTTTTCTAGTTTTTTTTTTTGAAACTAATACAATCTGTACAATTTAAGCACAATAGCACTTCAAGTTCACATTTAATCGGCTCTATATTGTATCCTCTGTCAAAATTGATCATACAGACAAAGTCGCTTCACTATATAAATATGTGGCGCTCAGGCGAACTTTTCGCTTACTGACGTTTTTTTCATTCTCTCATTCTTTGCCCCTCGATTTTTTCTTATTCTCTTATACAGTCCTTCTCTCTTCGGTGTACATATGTGTCCTACGGGTCGCCTGACACTAATGGAAACGAACGATGTAACCAACAGCAATTTTCTAGATTAAACGTCACGGTGCTCTCCTACGGTTAATGTGCGCGCTCGCTGTGAGTACACACTCGGCACACCGACACACGCTCGTGCACAGACCCGTCGCAGCATCCGTTGTGGGACGGTAGTGCCGTAGAGTGCGTGGGTGTGGCCACACCGAGGGACGCGCTAGAGAAATAGAACTTTGTTCCGAGGGTAGTTTGAACACGCTCGACGGGATTCTTTATTTTGGATTTCTTACCCAATCGTCCCTTTTTTCCCATCTCCCACGCTCTAAAACTAAGCCCCCTCGTAGACTTCCACTGTTTTTCTTTACACGTTGTTTGTCTCTAACAATAAATAAAAGAAGAAAACTCGAGATTTCTTGTTAGTCTCCGAAAATCATCAGTCATTCCTCGGACCAGCCCCTCCAATGATTTCTCCGTTTTGCTTTTTCCACTATGCGGGTGCATAACAAAACAAATGGCCGAATCAAATTCATGTTTCCAATCTTGTACGGTGTTCATTTATCATAAGATGCCTGTTGCGTTTCCTCTATGACATGTTACATCATAAAAAGTGACCCTAGCTCATATTATATTGCGCAACCAGTAGCCAATTCAAACGCACATTTTACCCAAAACGTTGTAGTGTATTGTTTTGCGAGTGCATGTTGTACTGTGATTTCGTTCTGTTGGGATAGCAAACAACACAATTCGATTGTTACTTTTACCTCAGAAAAAAAAAACCTATAAAAATGTACGAAACGAGGTCAATTAAAAACGGCTTTTGGCATTACGAATACCAAGTACTCACAATTTACGCTTATTCTCTTAGGGAAAGTACAAAAATATCATTTTCGTTTTCCTAATAACAAATAAATTCCAGTTTATCTCTCGGGAGTTAATACGGTACGGTATTTGTTTTTTATATACGTGTATTTATTTTAGCTACGCAGCAAAATAGAGCACTTTATCTGATAAAAGTTAAAATGAATTACCTGTTCCATTCATGGATTTCATGTCGGTAGATCCGTTGTTGGACGATATGCTTCCAGGGGTGGAAGGTGTGCCAGGTTTGATGTCTTTGACTTGCTGGCCGCATTGTTTGGGTTCCGTCTTTATACTAGTCGTGTCCACGGCACTGTTGTTGTTCTGAGTTTGCGACGATGACTTCTGCTGGGCCAATCGTTCTTGTTTTCGAAACTTTGCCCTTCTGTTTTGGAACCACACCTGAAATAGCCAGTTATTTCTAGGTATTTTTACATTCATTTCGTAAAAGATTATTCATTACGGTTTAGTTACATTTCATCGGAAACACTAATTGGTGTAATTCCGTCCTCCCTAAAGTTAAAGTTGCTTTGACCAGAATGCCCAAAAACCCCTATACCGAATGTGCACACTACGGATTCCCAGTCAATTCCCCGCGCGCACATAGCCCTCTGTTAATCAACCGGTACCTTCCGACCCATCGTTTTTAAATGGCTATATTTTTGTCCTAAACAAATACTGCGGTGCTCGATGAACGAAAGTCCTATGGTGGAAGATAAACTTCAAAACACTCAAAGTCGGACGCGATCGGTCTTTTGTTTGAGCGTGTGTACTTGGGCTGTGCAAAGAGAAACGAACGGGCAAAAGAGAGTTTGGAGGTAGTGTTTTTTCTTCCTTTTACTCTCCCCTTTTTTTTTTATTCCTTCCCTCCCACGTACTGTGCCGTCATCGGTCGACCGGTCGTTCGCATATAAAAACAACTGAGAGGACGTGATGTTTGACTTGTACCTCTTAAATCCAATAAAATTCGGTTCCGTTTACTCTTGTACACAGCACGAGCATACCGAGCGGATACACACAGTATGGCATCTTTGATTCGACTATACGGTGACCTGTACACGTAAAAAATGCGCGTAAAAACCCAGCCCAGTTTATTTTGCTGCTGTTTCTCCGTTATTATTGTTGGCCACTGTTAAAATCATTAAAAAGGTACTGACATCGTCAATCAAGAGGTGAATTTTTTCCAGTTTTTAACAAACAGCACGTTGTAGAATATCATCAACTAAGCTAATTTTCTAATTAAGTACAACAAATACTATTCGCGTATCGAATTGAATTCATGATAATTTTTATTTCTGCAATTTTCAGATTAAAATACATTAATTGAACACACTTATTTGATTTGAATAACTTATTATTGTTTTACAAATCCTACAAATAGAACATACCCATTAATTAAATAAGTTCTTACTAATACGAGTGAAATTTCCGTTACAATCGTATTTGTAATATTCAATCGAACGTAATCTGAAGGATAAAAATATCAGTTATTATTTTGTAATCATTATTTTCGGTACATTTCCATAATTTCCTACGTATCCCAGTGGATTTCAAGCTTGCTACGGCAAAATAAATAACTCCGGGTGAGCTTTAAACTTAACAGATGTAGGGTATCTGTGTTTATCTATGTGTCGTGCGATACGCGACCAATGTACCGTGTAGACCTTAACTTCTCGTCGTGCACTATTTAATTGACCGTGTCTGCATACAATAATACACGGATCTATACAATACACACTAGCAATAGGGGTGTTCCCTCGATTCACCTCCGTCCACCAGTACAACTGGCTAATTTAATATAAATATACACTTACCCTTCAACGTATTTCATAAATTGGTGTGTCATCGCATGTGCTTTATCAATCGAACGTTTTCTAAGTGACATTTATGTGTATTTTTTACTCGATCATTTCAACAGGCCATTACATAAGAATTATAGACCGTGTTTATATTGATTCTCTTATCAAATCGATTTAAATTTTGAATTGTTTATGTTTCATTGGTTTACCCGCGTGATTTACAAAACGTACCGACTTGTAATATTTAATCGGAAAAACGTCGTCTCCGAGTAAAACACGAGCAGTGGTACAAGTAACGGTCTCCCATGCGATATCTCAATTCGTATATGACAACACATTACTGTAAACAGAGTTACTACATGTCTAAGTTGCCATTATTTTGGGATGACAATATCTTCGCCACAATAGAATTGACACCGCGACAACACCGCCGGCGGCGGCGGTGCTTCTTTTGGCTCGTTGAGCTGTTATTAATTTAATAGGACCCTCGTATGTGTCACCACACCCAACCCACTGCGTGTTGTTCGCCAAACGGTCTTTATTTCAATCAGCGATTCTGTAGCCCGTGGCAGTGAACACTCGCAGACTACCCCAAGTCTGTTTTGTATTCTTTTCGTCATTGTTCGCGTAAATTGAGTACAAGGCCTGTACATCTAAATCATCACAGACTGGATGACAGCGCGCAAACGAATCGTTTCACACACCACCCCGAACGATGATCTAGCATAATTTTCCATTTTTTTTTTTTTTGTCGGCAATTTTTTATCAAACGCGCGGCTTTCGTTTGCTACCGCTGACAAAACGGAACTGCATAACATCGATAAGAATTAGTACGGAATCGGACTGCTTTGTTTGAAGTAAAGTGGAATAATAAATCAATGAATATTTTCCACCAACTGTGTCGAACAGTGACGACAATCGAGATAAATACTCTAAAAACAAGTGTCGCACGTTTAATACATTAGCCGTTGTACTGTCAATAGTGTTGCAAATGACTCACAACACTACGGTACCGTCGTAATGACATAATGCCATCGATGTCTCTTTTTGTTACACTCGTGTGTACATACATTATGTGTGCACATTGATAGAGACATAAAAACCAGAATGAAATGATAAACAAATGTACTGTGCGTGTTAACATCGGAGATCATTATAGGGCGACAACGGCAGACAATAAACGTCGCACCGGTCCGAATCCTTTTTACACACAAACAGTTGCAGTCCCCCACACAGTTCGTTAAACCGGTAGATGTTTAGGTGGCGATCGTCATCGGCCCGCTCTTTATCTGTACCTACGACCGACCCAATAATACACCGGCCCCATTGTTGTAGTGCATGACTCCATCAAAAGTACAAAGTTACACACTGGCGGCTACATTATTATTTTATGGAGTCGGTGCACCGTTTTGTTTGTTGTTTATGGGGTGTCTTCCCCAACACTGTCGCCGTGAAAACAATAAATACACCTCGACAGAAGGCTAAATACTTATTTAACACATGTTAATATTTTTTCACCGCCCTCCGCCCTATCACTTTTTTGCGCACAACTGAGCAAACAGAAAAGGCTCCGGATCGACACGGCGAGGATTACAACACCACACTGATTTATAAAAATACTTGTTATTATTTCATATCAGAACAATATTGACCCATTGTTAATGAAAAGTTTTTTTTTTCCGACGCAGATTGATAGTTCTCTTAACAAAATGACGTATTACTCTACAGGTGCGTAAACGATTATCGCGACATTTAATTAATCGATTAGCGTATCGGGAAGGTTTTTATTTTGTGTGATATTGTAATATCGATATTCATAATAAGGTTTTTGAAAAAACGATAATGACGTAAAAACAACATTTCAGTATTTCCAAGTTTAACAATCGCTCACATGTACTAACAATCGAGTGGTACAAGTGTATGGAAAAATGATGAAAAATTCACTGGTTTGTAGAAAATTAAAATGTGCGCCGCTAGACGTGTAAAAAATTATACTTTGGATAATAATTGGTATTTAAATACTGCGAGAAGAAAAATGTGCTACTTTGAAATGCCGAAAAAAAAGTATCGCACGATATACAAGGCCGATGCGTTCATCACACAGTACGTGTTGTACATTGTTTATTACGCACGTTTACATCAAGTCGGCAACGATAACATCATTTACAGCGCCGTAATAAATGTTAATGTATCCATAAACATACCGTGTACACAAAGATAATAAGTGACAACAGTGTTCGTCTAGTAGACATACAAACCGGACACCGGTGGCAAATTAGGGGGATCCGATGGGCGCGTGCCGTCAAGTGTACGGCGCCCGCTCAAATCGGACGGACTAAATTACACATGCTCATAAACGTACAAGAGTATCTCGTTACACGGTTGTTGTATTTACGCGTCGTGTTATGGTGCTGGCCGCCGCCAATCGAGTCAAGTACGACGGCCAATTGAGCCGTCGGTCGCGGTGCACGCGCAAAAGTTTTTTCCTATTGGACGAACAACAACAACAAAACGAACGTCGGTCGCAAGGCTCGAATTACCTAATTTGATACGGAAATCCATAACACGCCGACAAAGTTGTTCGTGGGAATCGTATGGCCAAGTAAATCCCTGACACGCCCCCACGTTTTATCTTATCAATACAGAATATCGTATAGTTCTAAAGGGTTCATCGTAAAATAGAAAGCATTAAAAACAACCACGTCAAGGTAAACACAAAACCGAATTAAACGTCGAGTGTTTACAACGATTTAAAATACTAATGAATTATGTGCAAAATCGAGTTTTTAGCTAATGAAAATCAAATTAATTTCAATAACGACTTGATAATTTCATGACAATGGAATTTCAGTAATGGTCCAACCCCATCCGAGACAATCCTAATAGGAAATTATGTTCGTTCGTGCAGCTTACCTGGACTCTAGCTTCGGTGAGCTCAATGTGTTTGGCTATCTCTTCTCTGGTATAAATATCAGGATAGTGCGTTTCCTGGAAAGCTCTTTCTAATTCTTTCAATTGTGCCGAAGTGAACGTAGTCCGTATCCTCCTCTGTTTCCGTTTTTCCGTGAGAATACTGTCGTGAGTTGAGTACGGAAGACTTTTGTACGCCGCCAAACCACCTGTAACGCAACGCATACGACACGTTTAGACGATGTAAATATTTGTCTACAAATTTTAACAAACAAAAATATTTTAACGTTGGTTATTGACTCGAACAATCTATTTGTGTGCTACAAACATCTATCGAAGAAGTTTTTCAAAAAACGTAATTATCTTTTAGTGACCTATAACGTTGATTATTAGTCTTTACGACCTATATTTTATTTTAAACTCATAATCAAACTACAAGATGTAGAGTATCGAGATCGTATTACGACAGTTTAGATATACTGGATGCTGTACGACCGTCTGTTCTTCGTATCGTCGCTGATTATCGGCGCGTTAAAGCTTTTTCGACGTCTGCTTTTTATCTGCAATGCATCTATAAATTACGAAAAAGAAAAACCCGTATTTCCACTCGCATTATCATCGCATTATTTACGAGCCGAGCGTACATTTTTTATACGAACCAATATGATATATTTAAATTTATGCACACACGTCGCGAGATTACTCTTAAATTATTAATGATTTATATGGTCGAAAATAAAGCCATTGCGGTTGTAGTGTATGAATGTTCGTATCGCTTTCCTTTTCTATGTATACGCAAACAACAGAAGTATATTTACTCCGCACGAACAAAAAAATCGCGAGAAATCACAGGAGTGTGTCTAAAATAATGCGAAAATTTACTCGTGGAGACATACAACTCGTCCGGTGGCAATATGGATTTAGAACGCATAACCTCGCGCCTAACCCGTAATTATCCCTACAGCTATTCAAAAATGTCAAGGGGAAGGCGAGTAATGAGCGTGTGATCGAAGGGGCGGAAAAATGTAGAGGGAACGTTGCTGTGAGGGAGAGCCAGAGCTCTACTGTACGTATAGAAAAACGGTTGGAACCGCCGCCGCCGCCATTTTTACGCCGGTGTTCGGCGAGCGGGTTTCTATATTGATCGAATCCAGGGACGGCTGCTGTACAGGGCGCGTTCATAAATATGTATGTATGTATGCGTATAAAAAGTACATAAAGTTAAGTTGCTGAGCGGAAACGGCAACGTAAAATGTTTTAACGACTGCGCGTGATCTCCGCTGTCGCTAACACAATGTCGCCGTTTTTTAATCCCATTAACCGCAGCGGAGCGTGCTGTTTCCATGCGGCTCGAGGAGAACGGTCGCATCCTTCAATGGCTGTGGACTATAGTGTGCAGACACGATAACGGATATTAAACGCCGAACAGGCCGCAAACTGCAAGCATCGCTAGTTGCGCGCCATTTTTTACAACCTCGCCCCTCCCTTTGCAAGAATGGACCTACCTCTCGCAGCAGACAAGTGGGTGTAATCTGGAAAAAGCAAAGTATTGCATCGATAAAACCAAATTATTATAAACACCTCACGTGTGTACACAGTGTCCACCGGCATGACGTTATTTTTTTCACGTGTTACTTTTAATATGCCTATTAAAAGAAAAACTAAAGTTTTTTTACTTATTATCGCGATCTACCTTAATGATAAATGATTTGTGTAATGTTTAAATGATTCAAAGCAATCTCAGAATTTAGGAAGACAACAATGAGATTGGGGCGTCACATTAAACGAAGCGGTAAAGATGGTTGGATAACAAAATTTTAAGGAAAAAATTTAATTGCTTATATTAATAATATTGAAAAATTATATTTTTATTATAAAAAATAAAAATATTATTTAGTTTAAAAACTATTGAATTAAAACCAATGGCACAACTAGAAAATACATCTTTTTACTTTGCAATCGCTATTTAGGAAGATTCGAATAAGAAATAAAAAAAAATTTTTAACATAATTAAAATATTGCTAATAATTTCAGGGGGTTTACTATCCCTTAACTAATCTGGTTGCATCACTGAGTAATACAATACTAAATTTTGTTTTAATTCGCCTTGCTTGTATAAATAAGATATTGTAAGTATAGATATAAGATAAAAATTATATTTTCAAATAAAGAAAGGTATCATACAATGATTATCATTATATAGGAACAAATTTTTAGCGAACAATTTTTTTTACTAAAAAAAATATTTTATTAAATTTTAAATATTTTAATTTGTTGATCTAAATAAAAATTGTTCATAATTTTAATGATTTAATGTAAATTTAATAAAAAAATGTAACGAAAATGTTATCTTTCAAATTGAAAGATAACATTTTCGTTACATTAATAGACATTGAAAGTTTCAATGTCTATTAATTAATAATAAAAATCAAGCAGGTAGGTGTGCTTTACCAGTCGACTATATCCCATCTTGTTTACTATTATGTCTATTAACATTGAAAACAGAAACAAAAAAAAATTTGTAGAAATCAATTATAATAACACAGCTATTCTGTAATTTTTGAGTAAGGATGATCGACCCCACGTAGGTGGGGTAAAGACGAGGAAAAAGAAGAAGTAGAAAAATCTATTCTGTAATTGCTGATCTATTACAAAATCAATGGTGTTAAATTCTAGGTAAATAACAATACTCTCTAATTCTAACGATAGGCATTGTAATTATAATAACCAAACCCGCCTATCTTATCATTGACAAAACGTAACAAATATATTAGTGTATTTCTCAAATAACTTTTCAAGTATTTTTTTTAATACTTTATAGCCCGTAGCGAAAATTAAGTAATGCAATTAATCTATTTCTTTAGAAATGATCATTATAAAAATTCTTTTTGTGTTTTCACATGACATTAGAGAGTTATTAATTTCAAGTATTATCAGTTTTCACTATAGTTATGATTATAACAATATAATTTACAATTTTCGACAAAATTAAAAAAAAATTCTATGACATTAGTATTTTGAGAATATCTATTTATGCTTACATTATATCCATAATTTTATACTTATAAAAAACACTTGAGTCAATAATCTATTAAAAATACTTTATGAGCTATCATAAATTTAATATCAGGTTCAGAAATACTGAAAACTCATAATTATAAACACTTACAAGGTAATCGATTATGTATAAGAATTATTTTAAATAAAAAGTAATATTTTGAAAGTCTCGTATATTTAGATTATATTTCAATAAAATTATACGAATAAAATATATGGGCAGCGCTAATGTAACTATCTAATTATAAATAGTCATCATACTGTTTAGAAAAAGGAATACATTGAGACCCGTAAAATACATAAAGATTTTATTAATTGACTTAACGAATGTGGCAAACAGTGGTTAGCATACTTAATATCTAATAGAATTAACATCGGGTAACTAATTTAGTACAAATCGTACTTTATTGTTAAATAGTAAAGCACAGAATATTTATCACTATCAGATAATTAATAGACATTTTATGACATAATTGTCCTTAAGTTTTCCCGACAATTTTTCTCATAGCGTTTCTTATGAGCATTCACAAATATACATTGAACACCCAGATATAATGTGGAACAATTAACATAATTAATAGTTTGTACTAAATTATCTTGTATAGTAAATAAATAAGAAATATATATTGAATAAACGTCACACGTACTTAATCGGTCAATATTTCATAGTTTCCCCTTTTGGAGTTAAGTCGTCTGTCTTGCCAAGCTTGTCTATCACATTGGTCCGACCCCCTGTCAAAACTTTTCCCAACTAAAATACATCAAAACTGGTATATTCTGTCAGATGTATTCCCCAAGAGAAACCGCGTAATATTTAGTGTGTATACAAACTTAAAAAAACATTATTTTTGTTTTAAATTATATATATATATATATATAAATATTACCTCCATAAAATTAATTGCACGCTACCTAAATATAACATTACAGATACAAAAAATTGTTTTAACTTTCAGTTTATTGAGTTTTTAGTATTTTTTTCATTATCAAATATTTTCATTCGTTGAAAATAAATAAGATACTTAATAGAACATGTATAGTTTCTATATAGTATAGAAAACTGTTGATTTTCAATATACCATTGAGATCATAACTGTTTTTTGACACTCAACCAAAAAAAAGAACCTTAAATTTTTTTTTTAATGTTGTGACATTTCAAAAAACTAAGATATTATTAGTAACAAATAAAATCGCCTATTTTACTTAAGAAAATATTACCCAAAACGCTTATTTACGAAACAAACATCTAAGCCTTCCTCAATACCTAAAAAGTTAAATAATGTTGATATAACGAGGAGGGGATAAGAGAAAATATCCTATGTAAAACCTTTGTTAAAAACTTTTTTATTAAATTAAGACTTGTTTAAAAAATCAATTTTTTTAATTTACCCGGTAGGTTCATTGCAGTGGAGAACATGGATGATCTGCCGGAATGATCTTGGTGATGAACTGCGTGATGGACGGCCGCAGCTCTAGCTGAAGACGAGACGGAGTTATGGTGACCATTGCCGGCCACTGCGGCGGCTGCGGCCGATAAGTGATGGCCCATGGCCGTGTTGTACGATCTAGCCATGGAAGCGGCGGCCGCTGTAGGTCCAAAACGGTAAGCGGCGTGTGACATTTGACCACAGGCCGACAGGTCTCCGTAACCCATGGCCGAGTGATCCATGTTACCGGTCGTCGTACCACCTGTCAGCCCGTCAAAGTTGGCTTGGTTCAAGTACGAGTAATCCATTTGGTACTAGCTGTTATCTCATTTACTAGAGACCGTCCGTTGCTTGCTTCTCTGTCGATCGAAATACGTACACACACACACACACACACACGTGTAAACCGACACGAATTAACAATACAATTCGACAGCTTTCCTTTACACGTACTCGTTCCGAGAACAAATTTGGTTGAAAAAATTTCAGTGTGTTAATCCAATTGTTTCGGTCAGACGATGAAGGATAGAGAGAGACAGCGGGTTAGTCGAATGGCGATTTCGGATAATTATGCGACCCGAAACGGTCAGATGGTAATTACCTCGGTGTGGCCGCGGAAGTCCCGCCGTGTGTTTCTTGGACACGTACTCGAATATATTAGATTATTAAAATTTATTCTTATAAAAGAGCGTCCGATGATTCGCAGTAAAAGAAAATTTAATAACAAATAAATAATAATAATAAAAAAAAAGAGGAGAGAGTGAGAGGAAAAGAAAATACTTAAGTTACATAACGACGGACAGGAGGATGATTACGATTATAGTGTGCGCGCAATATACGACGGTGTCGTCGGTTCCAAATCAAATGATGGCCCTGCGTAATTCAATAACTGCCCGTTGTGTAGAAAAGTGCGAACCACCCCTGCAGTCAAGTGCACCGGTACCATCAGCCGGCTGGGCGGGACTTACGACCGACACCCTTGCGCGGCCGACCCTACGCCATTGGCTTCGGCGTGCGTGCTCCCATCCCTACCACTCCTCGTCAACCCCTGCTACTACCGCCTCCGAATAACCAAAACATCCCCTTGTTCCGCCGTTGCCATCAAACCACCCGAACGTTAATACGCGGATATTATGTGCACACATGCCATAAGTCTTGCGATTTCTGTTTTTTTTTTCACCATCGCGGTAAACCAAACAAACGCCAACACAACGCGCACATAATAATCATCGTCATAAGTATAATTTATATCGTCTACAATGGAAACACTAAGGAAAACACTGTTTGTTAGTATTGTGATCGGACAGATGACAACGATTTCGTGGTGCATAATGAAATTACACGATGCTTAATTTTTACAAAAAACGGGTTTTTTTATTTTCATTTGTTTTAATAAACTATTGGCATATACATTTCTTAAATTTTATTTAATTCGACGGAAAATTTACTATAATTAATGGACATTGAAATATATTTTTTGATAAACAATTACTCAAAAAATATAAAATATGGCTTCTTATTTTTATCTATGTTACATATATTGTCGGGTGGAAGATCACTTTTCAGTCCTAGAAAAAATATAAATAAAAGTTAATATAGTTTTTTGAATTACCTAGAGAGGGGGGCAAATGAAATTGTTTGGGGCGTTTCTGGCGCATGGCAGTTAAAAAATATATATTATTAATCAGGGTTTCATTTGACGACTCAAATTAGACAAGATAATTTCATATTAAGATGATTAAATATAACTCTAACTGAGCATGATTCAACTCCGCCATATAGCAAATTTCTGTCGCAAATTATCAATATGTACAATTTAAAAAAAAATTATAACACAAATATTTTTGAGTAAATGTATTCATATGTACACATTATATGTACTTAGATGCTATGAGAAACGAAAATACACTGGTTTTATTAAAATGTATTTTTTATATACAAGGTGATTCGTGAATCGCGAAACATTAGATTACTCATAAAATAATAATAATTGTGTTGAACATTTTTTTGTATTTTTAATTACATATATTCTCGATTTATCCAATATTAAATATTTTTTTTGTTCATTCCCTATGTGTTACAGAGCTATCGACTTTTTAGTTTCGATGCGAAGCTAAGAAGATATTAATTTTACTATGTGTTTTTTTTGCGTGTCTGTTACGATTTTTTTCAGCTATTCCTTACAACGATACTTCAAAAAATCACAAATCGTACCTAGCCGAAGAAATTATATTTATCACTAGACATTTTTAGGCCCCACTTCCACTCCCGACTAGGTATAAGAATGTTATTAACTTCTAAAATACTGGTCCAAAATTTGTTATCGATTTTTTAATTACATTATTTTCGATTTTATAAAGTAGTTAAATATGTAAGTTTCAATGAGAAAAAATACTTAATAGTGGATAAATCGATAATTACATGTAATAATTCAATTATTGAAAATACAATTTTTTTTCCAATTTATTATTATTTTACGAGTTACCCCAGTGGTTCATGATTCTCATATCGCCCTTTATACTCAGAGTGTCTCAAACTAACTGACAACGCTTACAACATTTGATTCTGTTATCATGATTGCCTTTATAGGCTATGTTTTAATCATATTTTTAATTATTTATCACTAACAAAAAAAAATTTTAATTTGTAATTATAATTTTTTCAAAATATCAAGCCCTTTTCTTAGAAAAAATGTTAATAGGTTAATAACAACTTTAGGACTAGTACTTATTGAATTACAGAATTTTTTAATATAAAAAGTGGGTATACAGTTTGCGCGATTGTATGACGTACTGATGTACGTACACTCTGTCCAGGTTCTTACCCACTGTATATATTAAAATATTTGTTACTCAATCAGTACTTTTCTCAAAATTGTTATCGACCCATCAATTTTGTAAGAAAAATACTAAAAAAATAACTAATACAAAATTTTTTAAACGATAAAAATAATAATTTTTTTCTTATTAGTGATAAATAATAAACGTAGTCTAAGAAGGCAATAATTATTTAAAAAAAAATTTCAACAAAATGCTAATTGAATCAAAAGTTTTAAGCGTTAGGTCTGAGACATTCTATATTTTGCAGAGAAAAAGAGTTGGGCACTTTTTCTACTTTACCTAGGACGTTAAATTCCTAAATACGTCTCTGAAATCATCTCAAATAAGCAAAGGTATTTTAACAAAAAATCTACAGAGTATAAGCCAATGCCAAGAAACGCATCATATAACTTAAGCAGAAACAAAACCAATAATATTCTGCCTAAAAAAAGTACTGCACGCTACGGTTTCAAATAACCTTATAATAAACAAATTTGTACATTTTGGACATAAATATTTCCAACAACACTTGTGATCCTTTCATTCACAAATATAGATATATTTTCCTTTGATAGATTTTATAATTAGATGTTATAATAGTTCCTAATTAATAAAGTATATCATCCCATGTACACTTCCCGTGAAATGTGTTTGATCTAATGTATAGACCCAAGTATTATTATTGAAAACTTTCACTAAATCATCAATTTGGCTGATGAATAAACGTTGTGCACCCTCAGAACACGAATATGTCTGAATAGATATATCTTAGATATTATTGAGATTCATTTAAACAAATTTTATCTGTGTCAATTTCATACTTAAAGTTAATAACTTAATAACATTTAATAACAATATATTGTAAGAAATGTTATTTTTACAAACCTTTTGAAAGAAAATCAATTTCTGGGGACTTGAACTGTTCAGCATTAGCTTTATCTAACAAATCTAAAACATTAATTTGTAATAAAATATATCACTTGCATACGCATTAATATAAGTAAAATGATAAATTTGTACCGTTTTTCTGTCCTTCCGTTACTATTGGCAATGAAGTTTCCTGAGTATCCAAATTAAACGTAAATCCAAGTTTAAAATACTTTTCTTCAACTGTTGTTTGAATTAATGTTTTAATTTTCCATTCAACAAAATGACAGATATCAATTCCTTCGTTTTGGAGGTTATTCTCATTATGTTCATTGTACCATTGATCCCACACTTTATCTTTTTTTTCTACATATCTACAGTGATGTGAGACATCAATTTTTAGTTCTTCATACCGTGACTTAAAATACTTTAAAACAAAATTAAAGTTTGTAATTAATAAATGTTGTTCATCGCATGGTGCAGTTGACAATAGCTGTAACATAGCATGTAAATGTATTATTTTTTCAAACACAGCATTACACATTGGGTTGTTTGTTACACTTAACCACCAAGGACTACCATGCAGATTGTCCACAGCATACATTGCTCCTTTCATTTTAATTACAAATGAAACGATATCGGGAACAACATTTAGCAATGATTTGGCACATTCAGGCTTTTGTCCAAATTTTTCAATGACAAGAAAAACATTCTTTAGAAAATTCGCGTAGGTACATCCAAGGATTATGTTTGTAACACGTATTTTTTTATCTAAGCTTAAAAGATAATTGAATTGCAGAAAATCATTAATATAAAAATCATTTCCATGATAAATAACATGATCCACATCTTTTATGTTTTTCCATCCATGATATCCGAGTATGCTATTCACAATAGTTTCTCTTTCCTTAACAGTTAAAGCTTTGATTAAAATATTCGTAGAAAATAATAGCAAGCAAACTTTAAAAATGTTTAATAACATTTTGGGAACGATTGAAAAAAAAATACAAAAACTTCAGTTTTAAAATAATCAGAATTAAAGTAACACAGAAAAATATGACTTTTAATTTTTACTAAATTATTAAAAAAAAAAAATTCGTTGTTTTAAACTTTAAATAGCCGTAAAAAATATTTCAATATTTTTCAATTATTTGGTAAAGATAAATAAATAATATGATAATACTTCAAATGTTATTTAAAAAATTATATTTAAATAGTTATCAAATTAATCACGTTGAGAATTATTTTTACAAACATTAAGAAGTAATAAAAACCATAATTGTTCATTTAACAATATGATAATCAACACAAGCAATATTTAAATATTATATAAATAGTTGAAACAACAGTTCTTACATATATAATAAATTTATGTTAGTTTTACTATTTATTTTAGTGCAACAAAATTAAAAAATAAAACTCGTTCATAATTATGATAAATCATTATTAAAACACTTGTATCAACTGAACAAGTTATTTATTTGGGGTTATCGCTAATAATTTTATTCGATTAGTTTGTTCAAAAAAAAAAAAAACTACAATAAACTATGTTAGGAGAGATTGGGACAAGTATAAATGATATCTGACAGTGATTTTAATCGTTGTCATAAAAAATACTTCGATGCAAATATGCAGATAGTGTTTAGATTTTAAAAGGAATTCCAAAAGCAACATCAACTTTGGTTTCCTTAATTATATTCTTATTACTAGTTTTATGATGTACGGATATAATACCGGAAGAAATACTTATTAAACAGTTTAATTTAGTATGAAATTAATATTCAACAATTTAGTATTATAATTTTAACTATAAAAAGTTATTGAATATTTCGTTACCTCTATAGCAAACGTATGTGAAAATTGTTAGCTGTTAATTAATCTATAAAAAAAAAAATAAATAAAATAATGTCAGCTCTCTTAGTTCTATTATTCTAACCTTCGTTAGTTAATTATCAATTTAGTCATGAAATTGAAATCGTAATTAATCAAATCGTAAGCCTTTAATAGCTAAAACATTTTTCTTTTGGAAAGAAGGGCAGACCCCTTCCTTTTAATATACTTATTAGATTGACATTAAAAGTTGCAAAAATTCTACCTAAAAATATTTATAACACTTAAATACTTTTTAATTTTTGTAAAAGCAGGAGGGATTAATGGGAGTACTTACTCCTTTCCAATTATATTAAAATACAGTTTGACCTCAATTACAGACATTAATAATCAGAAAAAAATTGATAAAGAAAATTAACACGAAAAGCGATGATTTTTTACAAAAAAAAAAATATTCTTTGTTAAACTTCAAGAGCCGATTACATTACAGAGTTTCCTGCCGTTTTATATTAATTTGACTACATTAATTATTATTAAAATAAGTAAATCACGGTGGCACACCTATAGATGATCAATTGTTGGGACAATTTTTTTTAACTTACCGTATATAACATAAGGTTTAATTTAACTTATCTTTAATGTTTGGAGTATTCCTAGATCATTTTTAAAAGTCAAGTTGAAAAGGTTAACTTTTGTTGCAATAGTTGCTACTTTAAAGCCTCCCAATGAGCATATAAAGAGTCATATTTCCAAAAAATAGATAAACCTATTAAAAGGGAAATAGCTAAAGTATTTAAAAAAAAAAATTAGTTTTCATTAATTTGTGAAAAAGGTCACGTAAATAAATAAAAAATATTGTTTTTTTATGAAGCAGATTATATCTCGAGTATGAATTAATAAACAAAGATATTTTATTTTATTTTAATTATTTTTGAATTTTATTTGAGGTTAAAGAAAAACTCACAAAATTCCTATACATATATATATATATATATCATGCTTATATTTAGTGGAACTAGCTCAGTTATTAAAAAACAAACCTAATAATTACTTAGGAACATACCTAAGTGGGTCATCAAGTTAATTTCTCCTTTTAAATATTTTTATTATTTCAATGCTAACTGAAATAATGGTCTGCCGTGCAGTCAAATGTATTCTAATAGATCAGTGCCCAAGTTGTATAGTATGGGCAGCGTGATAGGCGCTTGATTAACGCGATTGTTTTCCCTATGAATCTCCAGCTATTGACATTGTAAACGTGATAAAAACATTCTACAGACTGAAGTTGATCAACAGTAAAATTAACAAACTCGATGATTATACAGGCCATTTGCAATGATTGTGCGTACTTCATCTAGTACCATGTGTGCGGTAGCTACGGCACGTGCGACGGTGTCTTCGCGCACGTGCAGATCATCGGTGATTGATGGCCAGTACACGAAGGGCGGTAACGGTATCACGCGGATGCTGATCAGCAGCAACGCGTCGATTGTTTGTGCTACTGCTGTACTGGTGAATGTTAGTGGTAGCCGATGGGCGCCAATTACGAGTATCATTCGGAAGTAGCAATAAAAATGCGTCGCGTACGTCGCTAGTACGGGAAACATTACACAGTAACAATGGATAATGTACCGCACACACGTCCCGCGGAAGCCCATGAGATTACAATGGCAGGTGGATCACTGACTAGTTGCAAACGGCCCGTCCGATAATAATTGATTTTGCATTATCTTTAAAGTTTGAACCAAATGTCGTTCGACTTGGTTAAATTGAACTCATACTAAAAAAATTACATATTATTACAATTTGATAAGAAAAACATTCCACTTGAAAATAAAATTGCAGAAATATTACAACGAAACATTGTGTTCTTCAGAAGCCTCTGGACTTAAACATGTAATTTAGTCTTTATATATAAACATTTTTGGAACTATTTCTAATAAATATTTCTCTGCGAAAAATCATCATAAGTGTTTACAGTTAAACGGGAATATTTTTTGTTCTTGAGGAATGATCCCCAAGAATAAATTTCTAATTAATATACACTATTTAGTATTAGGAAAAACTATCGTGAATATTTATTTATGATTTATGTACTCGGGATGCCTAAAATAAACTTATAAATGCATAAAGCTCCGAGATCTGCTCGAAACCATAGACCCTTTATATGTTTTAAAGTTCAAGATAAGACGCCGATTTCTATGCCTAAATACTAAATACATTTTTTCGGTAATGCTAAGGTAACTACAAGTAATAATCACTTAAAAAGTGTTGTTAAAATTATAATAAAATTACACGGAAAAAATATTTACTGACAATTAGTAATGATCACGTTATTCACTATTTTCTGTAGATTTTGTATTTAAAAAGTTATAATGGATTAAGCGACACTGATTCAAATTCTAGGTAAACATGATTAAAAACAAATATATATATATATATAAATATAATTGTGAATAATACCTGTAAAATAAATAACTAAGATATGAATTACAAAAATTATCATAAAGTATTACCATAGTAATGTTATGTCATATATGATAACAATTTAATCATCAAATCAAAAACATTATTTTATAATACTGATTTGTGTCTAAAGTAACTTCAAACAATTTGTTTGTAAAATGACTATTTTAAAATTACACGTAATTCTTCATATATGTTTACTTGGGTTTATTTTCGATGTGGTAGGAAACTTATTATTGACAAAATTCGAAATTATTAACGCCTTTAGCAAACTCCTACGCAAACATTGCGATGACTGTGTTGATATAACTGAGGCAACCACATCTGTCACGTTCGACGCATAACAATAATAAAATGTTCGATTTTCCATCGGAACACAAGTAAAATATTCTTGTCTGCCGATGTATGACGTATAGCGCAAAAGTATCACGTCCCACAGTTAAGCCTTTTACAGTAATTGATATAAAATACAGTCGAATAATACAACGAGGGGAGAGTTAAATGCATATACTAATTAATTAATTTTTAATGTACACGAGAGATAAGACTTTATAGAAGCCATAAGAACATTAAAGAGTGATTTCACATCGGTTTAATTTACAGAACTGACAGCAATAATAGCAGTTTTTATTCTCAAGTTAATTAAAATTTGATCGTGATAAAGTAATTGAATTTAACTAGAATAACACCTGAACACTTATTCGGCGGTTTAGTCACTGTAAGAGTAGTAAAATAAACGTACGCACTTTCTGCTGGGCACGAGGGTTAAACAAATTAAGTAGTTGTTTGGTACGCACGGTTAATTAAAAAATAATTTTATTTTAAACCATAAGTGCCGCACCTGTAACTAACCAGTACACGGTAAATAATCAACTTCTAGATGCGATTAAATTTGCATAAATTCGCAGTTTTTTAAACGTTTGTTCTCGCGAACGTAACATACACGTGACGGCGAAAACAAACTCATTTTGTTGACCTGTTCCTCGGAAGTTGGCGCACAAATAAAACACGCGTTGTAATATTGTTATGTATGTACAAGACAAATTAAGGTCTGGTGCTGCTAAGGAAGCAAAACTTCTCGCCGTTTTTGATCATAATTACTTATGTAAACACGGCCGGGGTCGGTTTATCTTTGTCTCGCGGGGTGCCGGCATATTTATGTCCGCGTACGCCGTAAATAGTTTGGAAAAGAGAGAGGGGCGGTACACGAACGAGTGGAGAAAACTAAGTTGCAAGTGTCGAGACCGAGGGGCGGTAAATTCGTTTCCGTGCAATAGTTTTGTCGTGTTATAAACGACCGGCGCTCGCAGTTCTGTTCAATCTCGTACCTCAATAAATTACAGTTAACTTTCGCATACGTAGCTGTTGCCGTTAAAAAGTCAGGCAGCGGCGTGTCTCGGCAACGTTAATTAAAACTTTGAGCCGGCGAATTCGGCCGGCAGAACGGGGGCGGGGGCTATGACAAATTTTCGCAGTGCGATTGCAGTGCGTTCGTCGTTCAGGTACGAGGCGCGACAATCAACGTTGGAGCGGCGTTTGTGTTTTCGCACGGTCGTCACATTGTTCATTATCGTGCAAAGCTCGTTATTAAGTGTAGTGTGCGGTCTCCGAGGTATCGTTTACGTCGGCGGCACCCATTTACGTGCGCACGCGACCACGTCTGTGCCATACTTCTCACGCTTGACATTTTAGACTTGCACATCACAAAAATACCATTATGCGTATTAAAAATGTGGTGTTTGATTTTTCGAACCCCGCGGAGAGACCGTCGTACATTGTGCAGCATCTGGCGCTGCTCAGGAACGCCGCCGCTACTCCCTCGAGACCAAAACTACCGACTCCGCTGTCGCGCCACCGCCTCCGACTACGCGCGCTAGTGACTGCGTTTGTATTGGTGGTAGTTACACAGCATGTAGATAAAACCAACCCGTTGTTTACACTGTGGGAAAGTGGTTTATCAAGTGCTCCCAGCAATAAAAACACGCCATCTTCGTCCCTAGAGCAGTTGTGTTTTGCTGTATACATTATGTGCATATAACCCAACACTTGACGTTGCAGCCACGCCGAAAAGTTCAACTATAACTATTTACTTCTAGGGGAGAGTAAATTGTAATACAGTCTACTGACTGCTATCAGTCAAGTACAACTGGTAAAATTAAATACAATAAATTTAACGAAAAATTCAATGGAAAGCAAAATTATCGTACAACTCAAAAACTAAATTGAACATCAACATAAAATAACAATTTATTTAGATACAATAATTAATTTAACAACCATCGTGAGTTATGTGACTTAATAATACATATATAATATATCACATAACCAATCACGTACAAGATACATAATACAAATATATAATTAACATCCGTACACACGAATTAATGCTATTTGTCCAATAAATTCAATAGGGTAAACTGATATATTATTTGAATCGGTGATTGTAAAAACGTCACTTGTCTCACTTTTAACAAAAAAATTTTTTTTTGTTGTTCTATTGTTATAAAAGCATGTAAACATCATAATTATCATACTTATATTCCTTTTGTGTTTATAAAATATTTTAAAAATCACATATGTCCAAAATATTGTGACTGTTTTTTTTATTCCATAAATTAATTACAAAAAAAAAATATTACGTCTCATTTTTTTCTATAATTAGATAAGTTAAACAATAACCTTGCGTATTCTTATAACGTTTTTTAATTCATAAAAAATTCTGTATAATAAATGTGCAAAATTATTTATATGAGTAAATATTAGCTGGAAAATTAACTGTTAATACATGATTGTCATTAATTTTCCCAACTTAAACTATTTTTAAATGAGCTTTTCTAAGCTAAGAAAAATCCGAAAACTCTGTATTGTTAAAACACACGGTCAACCGCCTTTTTTCTTTAATAATTATGTCTAATTAATTTTTAAAACTTCAGAAACAATTCCTACTATGAGTATTTTTAACAAAATTTAATTTCAGTAATATTAAAAGTTTACAAAAACCCAAAAATTTAATATCTTCTGTAAAATTTACATTTTGTGATAAATATGGTTTTTACTTTCATCAACTCATTTTTCATTGAATATTGTTAAAGTATAATTTATTGTTGTTAAGTTATAAGTACTGTTCCACTGAACAAATTTTACTTTAATAATCCTAATGACACTGTATGAATGTTCATCGGTTCCAAAAATATCCTCACGACATTATGAAATAAAAAGCGTTTAATTCTTAATTTTCATAAAGAAAACTCGACTGGATGCGATTAAAATTGCACATTTATTTGACATAATTAAATAATCATATAATTTTTTTATATATTGACGAAAAATTTGGTAATAATTTATCACGTCAGTACAACATAAAAACAATAAACAATAGTATAAAAAAATTAAGGGAGTGAGCACGTTTACCCTAGTTCAGTTAACACGGAATTCAAATCTTCTTGCAAAACTAGAGACATCTCCTTTTGCTTATTGACATCATCTTGTAGCCTCTCTACGTTTGCCTTAAGCAAGTAGTTTCCTTTTTTCAATGAGGCTAGTCTACCTTCGTAATACTTTGACCTGCGATTTAAATTATCTTTTTTCTCTTCCGGAGAGGCCGACTCAGGAGCTTCACCTTCACTCTGAGTATCGTCATCACTGTCGTCACTTTCTGTCTCAGTCTCCTAAAATATATAGCTATGAAAATTATTTGTCTTTATAAAAATCATTATAATGTACTTACTTCTTCTGATTCTTCTTCTTCCTGTTCCTCAGTTTCCTCTTCTTCTTCGTCTTCATCTTCTTCGCCAGTTTCTCTCATTAATTTTGCCATTTTATCAACTTCTTTTTGTAATACTTTGTACTTTTTTTTCTCAGCTTTAAGCTCTTTTTGCTTCTTAGTCAATTCCTGTTTGAGCATTTTGCGTTCCTTCACAGCCGATACCTGTTTATCTCTTAAAGATTTCACCTTAACTTGTAAAAGTTTGAGCTCTCTTGCCGTTCTCCTTGCGTCATCCATCTCTTGCGAACCGCTTGAATCATCTTCTGAACTGTCGTCATCATCTTCATCTTCTTCTTCTTCCTCTTCAGACAAATGGTCAACCGATGGAGCGACCGACAGTTTTTTCATGGACATTTGTCGAGGCACTGGTTGAGCTGATATTACACGACCCGCTAACGCAGCTTTCAACTCCATTTCCAACTGTTGATTTCTGAGCCAAGCGCTTTCTAATTTCCTTCGAGTACTATCTAGTTCTTCAGCTGTAATATGATATTTTTGTTCCATATCCTTAACGATACGGTCAGCTTCCGACGCTTCTTCTTTTAACTTGTTTATCAACTATAGCATACAAAAACATAATATTAAAATAATCTAGTTTTTTACACAAAATAAAAAATTATTAGATACTATTTGTGTTTAATACATAAAAATTACTTTTACACAACAAATGAAAATAAATTAAGTACCTGTTGGTCTTTGTCGGATCTAGTTGTTTCATGTCCCGATGGTTTATCTTGAAGTTCTTCTTGTAAGTTCGCAACTCTAGCTAAAAGTCTTTTGTTTTCCCGTTCAAGTGCTTCTTTGCTACGCAATTCCAATGCAAGCATTTGTTTAGCAGACTGTAAATCATCTCTCACCTAATTAAAAACAAAATTGCTCGTTGAAACATCTACTATTTACCAACAATTGTTAATTTTTAATTGTACCTTATCAATATCATCAAGTTCATCAGGCTCAGCAGCTGCAGCTACAACATCTGCCATTGAAACGGATTTCTGTATTTTTTCTTCAATAGTAGCTTGTTTTCTAAATTTTCTAAGTCCTATAAATAATTAATACATTTTAAAATATTTAAGACTCATTGGAAAATAAGTTTTTTTTTTTTTTGTATTGTATTATAATTTGTTCGTAATAAAATAAATTAAAAGTAATATAGAACAAAGTTCTAAGCAAATTATATTTCATATTTTAACTCAATTTCAATTAAATTTAACCGTTTATTATTTCAAATAAATTTTACCACAATTATATTATAATCA